AAAAGAATGTGTGTGCAAAAGGAGGAGGAAGGGGTAAAGAGATGCGTATTCAAGGGGTCAGTGGTCTAAGGTTGTTATTCGCTCTTGGGGGGGGTCCTGGGTTCAAATCCCGGCTGAGCCCGAGGGCTGTTTGGTAGCCTGTAGGTTTCCCAGACGGTGGATTTTAGCCTTGACCTCCTACCCATCACCCCCCAGGAGACAGTCGCACTCCAGTGCAGTTCCCCACTGCCTGACGAGTCAACAATCCCCGCCACCTCGCTAATCCATCTTTCCTACTCGCTAAAATTGTTGCTTTGCGTGGCATTTGTGTGCGATATTAAAGGCGATTAGACGAGAGAGAAGGACAGCGGATGAATTGGAGCCCGCGCCCTTTCAGACTGGTGCCTAAAACCAGCACCTTAGACCACTAGACCACGCTGCCTCATCTATGATCTTCCTCTACCCGGTCCCTACCACCCATCTCTGTTGCGACAGGCAAATCAATGGAGGCAGCTGAACCTACTCATTCAACACCCAATTCACACCCACAACTTCCTAAAAATTATCCTCTAACCACCTCTAATCCACTCCAACACGTTTCTCATCCCTGTTTGGGCACACTTGAAGGCAAAAAACATACACACCACCTACCCATGGCAATACATTGTACCCTTCTTATTTCCATTATCCTTGAAATTCAATTGCAAGGCCATTAATGTTTCTAAATATCAAAGCATCAAAGGAAATGCTTCACATTCCATTCTCGATAGACAATTATGCAATAGGCGGATTTCTTTTTAAAGACATATTGCTCAACTTTTGAGATATTTACTTAATGTCAGACATCTAAGAAATCTCTCCATGAATTCCGACTTCATAAAGTTTTCCATTTTTCATGAGGAGTGTTCAAATTTATCTTAAAAATGATTATTTATTAAAATAGTAGTACCCTGCTAACGGAAGTAGGACAACAGCAGTTTAAAGTAACACTTGATCCATATTGCCCAGGCGACATGTTCACTTTTCCCCTCAAGCTAGGTCTTTGAAGCGTTTTAGCAGCCCCCAATCAAGAGGATTGCTTGCGAGTCCCCTCAACACTCCTTGCCCTTCTACTACAGAGCTGCAAGCTTTCGTAGGTCGAAGCACATTGGCCTCCTCTCTAGGTGTGCTAATTGAAAACTGTCCAGCTGCTGGCGCTAAATAGAAAAGAGCACGAATTGGCGGTCCTAAAAGGGTATTGTCATCCATTATGGCATTCCATGTCGACACATTCGATTAGATGGCTCCACAACTTTCCTTTGTTAAAGGAGAGATAAAAAAAGTAATTCATCACTTGTCACGTGTTAACTGTTGCTAGCAGTTTGCCTTTACATGTCACCT